GGTGGGTGAAAATGCCAAATTGGGCTTCCGGGACGCATGCGGACGGGGGCACTGGGGCCTTCGGTGGAGCTCCCTATGGGGCCACGAAGCGCCGTACTGGGTGTGCGGGGCGCATGCGGACGGTAGCGCTGGGACCTTCGGTGGGGCTCCCTATGGGACCACGAAGCGCTGTACTGGGCGTGCGGGACGCATGCGGACGGTAGCACTGGGACCTTCGGTGGAGCTCCCTATGGGGCCACGAAGCGGTGTACTGGATGGGTGAAACGCAGGGAGGAGGGGGAGGAGGGCCACGAAACGCTGTGCTGGGTGTGCGGGACGCATGCGGACGGTATCACTGGGACCTTCGGTGGAGCTCCCTATGGGGCCACGAAGCGCTGTACTGGGTGTGCGGAGCGCATGCGGACGGTAGCACTGGGACCTTCGGTGGAGCTCACTATGGGGCCACGAAAAGCTGTACTGGGTGGGTGAAACGCAGGGAGGAAGGGAAGGAGGGCCACGAAACGCTGTACTGGGTGTGCGGGACGCCTGCGGACGGTAGCACTGGGACCTTCGGTGGAGCTCCCTATGGGGCCACGAAGCGCTGTACTGGGTGTGCGGGGCGCATGCGGACGGTAGCACTGGGACCTGGGGTGGGGCTCCCTATGGGGCCACGAAGCGCTGTACTGGGTGGGTGAAACGCAGGGAGGAGGGGGAGGAGGGCCACGAAACGCTGTACTGGGTGTGCGGGACGCCTGCGGACGGTAGCACTGGGACCTTCGGTGGAGCTCCCTACGGGGCCACGAAGCGCTGTACTGGGTGTGCGGAACGCATGCGGACGGTAGCACTGGGACCTGGGGTGGGGCTCCCTATGGGGCCACGAAGCGCTGTACCGGGTGGGGAGTGGAGGAGGGCCACAAAACGCTGTACTGGGTGTGCGGGACGCATGCGGACAGTGGAGAGGAGGAGGGGGCAGAGGAGGAGGGGAGAACGCGGGGACCGTTTCTTCAAAACGAGGACCCAACACCACAGGATGGTTGGGAATCATTGTTTTTTGTCTGTTGGAACCCTCTTGGGAACGGGCTTGGAGCTTTCTCCGAGCGTCCGGGAGGCTTCTTGGGCCGTCTTTAAGCAGCTCAGGGGCCCTGTTGGGGCGTTATGGTGCCTCGGGTCGTTCTGGCCCGTTCCTGGGCTGGCCCGGACCGTCACCTCGGGGGCCCTGGTCCGTCCGCCCATCGAGGGTCACCCCCCAGGATATATATATATATATATATATATATATATACACACACACACACAAGACTGCATTGGCGCTTCGCGCCATGCGCCTTGTTCCGGACGCTTCCCTGGCAAAACAATAAATCATCGCTTTTTTCAGCAGGGAGGACCTGGAGGCCTGGACGGGCGACCCGCCCATTTTCCGATATCCCGGGTGCCTGCTGACACCGCTTTCGGACGATGCGCTGGCACGCTTGTGCGCAGGAGTGGGGAAATCATGCTGATTTTTTCGCGCGCGAAGGTCCTTTGAGGAAGCAAGGAGCGTTCCCATGACACGCCGAAGAAGTCACAGTAGCTCCGAACACATCGATTTTTGATCGCTTCCCGAATGCCTGGAGGGCTCCAGGCACTCAGGAAATCTTCGATCGTCGAATTTCGAATCTAGATCCATTGCCTCTCTCGATCGGGTAGCTACTGAAACCTCGAGCCTCAAACATGGAACCAAGATCGTCGGGTCAGCTTGATGTATTTCTTAGGAGAACGCCGTCTGGTCGTTTTTGGTGCTCTTTTGTGCCGTCCTGGGGCCCTCTTGGGCCGTCCTGGGGGCTTCTTGGGCCGCCTTGGGGAGCTGGGGCCCTCCAGAGGTCTTCTGAAGCCATCTAGGGCCCTCTTGCGGGCCTCCAGTGGCGTTCTTGGAGGTATCCCATGGCTTTCGTGGGTCTCTCTTGGGAGCCTTCTGGGGGCATCTTGGGCTTCTTGTGGGCAGTCTCGGGGCTCTCTGGGGCAGTCTTGGGGCCCCCTTGGGCCGCCTTCAACCCCTCTAGGGGGCCTCCCGGGCGGTCTTGGGGCGAGATTGGGGGCCCATTGGGCCGTCTTGGACGCTGCGAAGACCCAAAAAGCGGATATGCACAACAAATGTGTTTCCTGAAGGAATGTGACGATTTTGGCTTCTGCGGGGCTCTCTTAACGGCCTCTTGGGGTGTCTTGGGGGCCTCTTGGGCCGTCTTCAGAGCATCGAGGTTCCTCTTGGAGCGCTCTTGCGCTGTCTAGGGTCTCTCTTGCGCCTCTCCGACGACCCCTCTAATCGCCTTGAGTCGGCTCGCAAAGCCCAGCGAGGCGCCCTGGGAGGCCCGGAAGGGCCACCGAACCTTTTCCAAGGGCGTCCAGGGGGCCGCCGAAACGTCCGAAAGGGCGTCCGGAGCGTCCCTTGGAGGAGGATCCGGTTTAGGGGTGGGGGGTCCGGTGTGTGTGTGTGTGGGTTCCAGGTACTACAAATATAAGAATAGGAATACATATGTATGTATATATATATATATATATATATATAGATGTATACACACATATATATATATATATATATATATATATATATACACATGTATATATATGTACAAGACTGCAGTGGCGCTTCGCGCCATGTTGGTCCTTGAAGTTTGGTGTGCAGGCGGAAACGGCAGGAAGGTCAAGCCGACAATTTAGCGATAACTCCTTGCTACCTTTTCTGGCATCGCCGTTATAATAATGTTGTTCGTTATCCTTCCTCCATGCTTATTTTTCCTCATTCTCGCCATACCCTGGGCATTCTCCCCATCCTCCTTAGCTCTTTTTGCGGAGGCTCCTCCTTGGAGAGCCTCTGGGGGCCTCACCAAAGTTCCCGGGCTTTCTTAAAGCCTTCTGGAGGCCTCCTGGGTGTGTTCTGGGAGCCTCTGGGGCTTTTCAAGGCCAACTGTCTCTAACCGCGGTCTCCCTGAACGCCCCAGTCACGATTTGGAATGCTTCGGAGGGTGTCTTGGGGCCATCTTGGGCCGCCATGGGGCTCTCTTAGGGCCATTTTGGACCCCTGTTGTGCCGTTTTGGGGCTCTCTTGGACTGCCTGGAAGCCCTTTCGGATGGTTGTGGGGCGATTTTGGAGCCTCCCAGGCGGCTTCGAACACCTAGGAGACCGCCGTCTTGGAGCGTCGGGAAGCCGAAAAGAGGAGAACCCCAAATGCACCAAAAACCTACATAGAATCAATGATTTGTCCCTCTTGGGGCCTTCTTGGGGGTGCTCTTGGAGGCCTCTTGGTACGTTTTGGAGCGATCTTTTGGGGTATGACGGCTTCTTGGAGCGCTCTTGTGCTGTCTTGGGGGTCTCTGGGACGTCTCTGGTGACCCTCCTGATCGCCCTGGGTGTGCTGCGAAGGCTTGGCAAAACGCCCTGCGAGGCCCAGGGGGCCGCTTCGAGGCCCGTCCAGAGGGTCCCAAAGCTCCAGATTCCGGGGGTTTTGTTTTAGGGGGGGGGTGACGGGTTTCCCCCCCGGCTGGGCTTATAAAAATATAAGAAGAGGAATCTATACAAGACTGCATTGGCGCTTCGCGCCATGCACCTTGGTCCTTGAAGTTTGGTGTGCAGGCGGAGTAGCAGGAAGGTCAAGTCGACAATTTAGCGATAACTCATTGTTGCCTTTTCCGGCATCGCCGCTATAATAATGTTGTTCGTTATCCTTACTCCATGCTTCTTTTTCTTCATTTTCGTCATATCCTGCGCATTCTCCCCATCCTCCGCAGCTCTTTTTTGAGGAGGCTCCTCCTTGGAGAGCCTGTGGGGGCCTCACAAAAGTTCTTTCAGGCTTTCTTGAGGTCTTCTGGAGGCCTCCTGGGCGTATTCTGGGGGCTTCCTCGGGCCACCCTGCCCCCAACCGCGGTCTCCCTGAACGACCGGGTCACGATTTGGAATGCTTCGGAAGGCGTCTTGGGGCCATCTTGGGCCGCCATGGGGCTCTCTGAGGGCCATCTTGGACCCGTGTTGTGCCGTTTTGGGGCTCTCTTGGACTGCCCGGAGGCCCTTTTGGATGGTTGTGGGGCGATTTTGGAGCCTCCCAGGCAGCTTCGGACGCCCAGAAGACCGCCGTCTTGGAGCGTCGGGAAGCCGAAAAGAGGAGAACCCCCAAATTCACCAAAAACCAACAGAAAATCAATGATCTTTGCCTCTTGGGGCCTTCTTGGGAGTGCTCTTGGAGGCCTCTTTGGGACCGTCCTGGAGGCCTCTTGGGCCATCTGGAGGTCACGTCGGTCACTCTTGGAGCGCTCTTGTGCTGTCTTGGGGGTCTCGGGGACGTCTCCGATGACCCCCCTGATCGCCTTAGGTGTGCTGGGAAGGCTTGGCAAAACGCCCTGCGAGGCCTGGGGGGCCGCTTCGAGGCCCGT